GGCTGAGGCAGGAGAATTGCCTGAACCCAGGAGACGGAGGTTGCAGTGAGCCGAGATTGTGCCATTGCACTCCAGCCTGGGTAATAAGAGTGAAACTCCATCTCAAAAAAAAGAGGCTAGTGGTGGCCACGTGCAGTGGCTCATGCCTGTAATTTCAGCACTTTGTGAGGCTGGGGTGGGCAGATCGCTTAAGCTCAGGAGTTTGCGACCACCCCGGATACGGTGAAACCCCATCTCTGCAAAAAGAAATACCACAATTAGCCAGGCTTAGTGCATACCCCTGTAGTCGTAGCTAATCAGGAAGCTGAGATGGAAGGATAACTTGAGCTCAGGAGGTGGAGGCTGCAGTGAGTTGAAATCACACCACTGCACTCCAGGCTCGGGTGATGAGGCCAGAGCCCATCTCAAAAAAAAAAAAAAAAAAGATGATGATGCTAGTAGTGATATTCAGAATCAAACTTTCTTTTAAAAACTGTAACCAACTGGGCGCAGTGGCTAACGTCTGTAATCCCAGAACTTTGGGAGGCCGAGGCGGGCAGATCATTTAAGGCCAGAAGTTCGACGACAAACCTGGCCAATATGGGGAAACCCATCTCTACTAAACAAAAAAAAAAAAATTAAAAAGTGGTGATGCACACTTGTAATCCCAGCTACTCAGGAGAGTGAGACAGGAGAACCGCTTGAACCTAAGAGGTAAAGACTGCGCCAGGCCGAGATCACGCCACTGCACTCCAGCCTGGGTGACAGAGCAAGACTCCATCTGAAAAAAAAATTGTAACCAACTAATTTTGGAGTCAATATTTTATAAATAAAACACATGGGCCAGGTGCAGTAGCTCACGCCTGTAATCCTAGCATTTTGGGATGCCGAGGTGGGCGGATCATGAGGTCAAGAGATCGAGACCATTCTGGCCAACATGGTGAAATCTCGTCTCTACTACAAATAATAAATTAGCCAGGCGTGTTGGCAGACGCCTGTAGTCCCAGCTACTTCGGAAGCTGAGGCAGGAGAATTGCTAGAACCTGGGAGGCGAAGACTGCAGTGAGCTGAGATTACACCACTGCACTCCAGCCTGGCAACAGAGCAAGACTCTGTATCAAAAAAATAAATAAAACACATTAGTGATCACACAAATTTCTCTACAGAAGAGCCACAATTCTTCGCACTGACACACACACAAAAACCTGAAAAGCACAGTAGTCCCCCTGTAGATGTTCCTGCATACCTCTTCAGAGACTCTATAAAAGCCACACGGGAGTCAGGGACTTTTGGAAGCTGTGGGAAGACAAGAGTCCTGTGAGATGCTGACAAGGAAAGTCCTTGCTTTTGACACAACTGGTTCTCATGGAGATGCATACTGACCACTCGAGGTGTGAGCAGCGCAGGGAGGAAGTGGGACATGTAGTAAGGCCTCCTGAATATGCTGCAACAGAGAAGCAGACAGTGGGTAGGTGAGTGCAGCAAAAAGGCAATTCCCAAACAGTGACTGGTGTTTCAGAGTGGAATGCAGGGGCTTACTCCAAAGCCACGATGTGCTGCTGTCATGAAGTCTTCTCGTGCACGGTTCCAGGACAAGGCACGTATAGGGCAGGCTGTGCCAGCCCAGCCTGGAGTCCGTGGGAATCAGGACCACATTCTGCCTGCTCACTGGGCTTGGCCGTGCAGCCTGGATCAATCTGAGGCTATAAGACCCATGTAAGGTCCTTTGGGGCATTTTGCTTGGAGCTAATTTGAAAACCCTGGGAGCTGCAATCAGCTCGTCCGCACAGGTAACCACCAGAATTCAAGATGTTCTGGGATTACACCAGATTCAATATAGCTGTACTATTCAGCTCTTTGTTGCTGATGCCGTACTGGTCACGAAGAAAGCATTGATAGAAAACATCACGGTGCTCCATCGTCTTCCCTCCCACTGCGGGCTCCCCAGTCAGCACTTCCTACTGGCTGTTAGAGCGTGGGACGGGCATCACATGCTTTTACACAGAAATCATGCTAGCAGTGATATTCAGAATCAAATTTTTTTTAAAAACTGTAACCAGCTGGGCGCAGTGGCTAACGTCTGTAACGTCAGCAAATGCATAGCTTGACCTCACCCCATATCCCCCAACTGCAGGATCCTCGACGTGAATTTACAGCCCTGACTGCTGTCTCTCCATGAATAGACAGTGGCCAACCTTCCCCATGTGGTTCTGAGCAGACCTGGGACACACTAAAAGCCCCAAGACACTGGCAGGCATCAGAGTGGACTCTGCACTCACTGCAGCTGCCCCTGCCCTTTGGACAGTCCAGCCTACCTGGCCTCCATGACGGTGACTGGGATTTTCCCTGTATGCTCAAATACCATGATGGCCTTTTCAACATCCTGAAGAGCCTGGCTGTGGGGCTGGTTCCAGTACAGGGAGGAAGAAAAAAAGAACAGAGGACTTAAAAGAAAAGAAAGCGAGTAGTGAAGGCCAGACTCAACCTGCGCTTCACTGGGCAAAGGCTCTGCACAAATTAAAGGCCCATATGAGTGCGCACAGCAGGGGCACTGGAGCCCTCCCAAAACACGGGAAGGGACAGTGTTGCTGTTCTTACACCCATAAGGCTCCGACCCGGTGCCCTGAGGCCCTCATGGCAGCTGAGCTCTACCAAGAGCTGCTCCCTCCTCTGCGGGCCAGCAGCCTCTCTGCTGCCTTTAAGAGAGTGAAGAGTTGAAAGTAAACATTTCCAGGTCGGAAGGAGTCGAGATTTAATTTTTGAGATTAAAAACAATTACGAGGCTTGGTGCCGTGGCTCATGTCCATATACATCCGGTACTTTGAGAGGCTAAGGAGGGGGCATTGCTTGAGCCCAAAGAGTTCAAGACCAGCCTGGGCAACACGACCAAATCCCAACTCTACAAAAAATACCATCAGCCAGGGTACAGGCATGAGCCAGTGGTCCCAGCTACTGAGGACACGGAGGTGGGAGGACTGCCTGCGCCCAGGAATTTAAGGCTGCAGTGGTCATGACCGTGTCACTCTACTCTCGTGGCAACAGAGCAAGTCCCCGTGTCAAAACAAAAATTATGAGGTCAGGCATGGCAGCTCACATCTGTAACTCAGCACTTTGGGAGGCCAAAGCAGAAGGATCACTTGAGCTCAAGAGTTCAGGACAAGCCTGCGCAACACAGAGAGACCCTATCTCTACAAAAAATTTTAAAAACCAGCCAGGCGTGGTGGCGCACGCCTGTAGCCCCAGCTACTCAGGAGGTCAAGGTGGAAGGATCGCTTGAACACACACGGTTGAGGCTGCACTGAGCTATCATCACACCACTGCTTCAACCTGGGCAACAGAACAAAATCCCACCTCAAAAAAATATAGTACCTTATAAATAGCAATGAATCATAAATGGAAAGTTGCATTAAATATTTTCACCAAACGCTTTAATGTCACCTATAAGTGTTCTTCAGTAACTTGTAAATTTAAAATAAAAAGGTCTCAAGCAGTAAAGAATGTTTTTATGAAACACACACACAAAAAAAATAAATAAAAAAGAATGTTTTTATGAGTGACATACATTACACACCATCTGACATTTGGCTTCCACAAAAACAGTTAACACTTGGGCCGGGCATGTTGACTCACGCCTGTAATCCCAGCACTTTGGAAGGCAGAGGCGGACGGATCACAAGGCCAAGAGATCAAGACCATCCTGGCCAACACAGTGAAATGCCGTCTTTACTAAAAATAGAAAAATGAGCTGGGCATGGTGGCACACACCTCTAGTCCCAGGTACCCAGGGTGCTGAGGCAGAAGAGTCACTTGAACCCAGGAGGTGAAGGCTGCAGTAAGCCGAGACTGTGCCACTGCACTGCAGCCTGGTGACAGAGCTGGACTCCATTGCAAAAAACAAAAATGTGTATTTTACTTGGAGTTGAAAAAAAAATAGTTAACACTTTTCTTTAATTCAAAGAAAAACATGACTGACCACCTCTCCATTCAACCCCATATGAACCAAGATCTCCTAAAGGGACACATTTACCACACCATGAAGCACTTCTTTCCCACACAGAGAAAATCCCCTCATGCTAATGCTGGGCACACACACATGGTGGGACAGGCAAAACAGAGGCCTTCGGAGCCTTGCCCCTAGCTGCGCCCAAACCAAGACCAGACGAGAGACTGGGAAGGCTGAAAGGCTCAAGAGACAAAGGAAACTGGACCTCTGCTAGGTGGGCGTGACTGGCTGAGACCCTGCAGGGCTCAAGCAACATTACCTCAGTAATGTCCCCAGCTGATGACAAATCCTCGTAGAGTCCCATGTTTTCTATAGACACCTTCAGAGGAGAGACAAAATGCGAATATGAAAACAAAGCTGTTTCTGCTGGACGGGTGTGAGGAGTGGGCACGGAGGGGCAGCTTGCCTTGAGGTCAGCCAGCCGCGTCTTGGCCAGTGAGATGTAGTCTGTGAGGAGGGAGCGGTACCTGCTGGGAACCAGGGGTGGGTGGAGAATGTGCACCTGAGGACAGACAACAGAGTGCAGCAACATTAGTCAGCGAACTGTCTGGGACTCCAGGGAGGCCACAGCTCAGTTCGACCATCCATAGTGCTGCTGAGTGGAGAAACACAGCCCTCTACGGGTATGTATGAGTATGCAAAGCAAACCATTAGTAAAACTAAAACACAACAGAAGTCTGCTTTCCCAGGTGAAAAATGAAGGAATTCTCAGGTAATTGGTCCTATGTGGCTCACTGGGGGAGCCAGGGATGTGCATTCCCAGAAGCAGCAGGCAGGGGCCAGCCGGGCCAGCCAGCCCACCTGTAGCTCCACACCTCTGGCTTCCCACACACCTGTGAGGACCACCGCTCCAGGGTGTAGATTT